ACAAGTTCAAGGCCAGCCTGGGCTACATAGTGAGACCCTGTCTCAAAAATAAGGAAAAAGTCCCCTCAGTGAAACAGGGGGACGAGGGTATAGCTCAGGGTTAGAGCCAGGACTTAGGTGGGAAAGGCGTTGGGTTCAACCCCAGCAGGGACACAGTCGCCTGGTGGTGTACACCTGTGTTTAACCCTCCTGCGTTACACACCTAAAAATGGTTCAGACAGGAAAATTTTCTCAGTGAGACTCTGCCACCATTTGAAAACCCCTGGAGCTTCCTCCATCACCACATGAGTGATGGCAGGGAGGGGCCCGTCAGAGCTGCTGTCCCTTGGGCTGGAGGGCGGGGGCCCAGCTGCACAGTGACTGCTCAGCAAGTACCCAAGTGCCTGTCTCAGGCGGCGACTGACTCACTGGCCCTAAATGCATGTGCTTTCTCCCCGATGGGTTCCGGTGTAATTACTGTTGTCCCCTGGGGCCTGTGTACCCATGGCAGCCCCAGGTTACCCAGTCGTGAAGGTGGTGCCAGTGCCACTGGGTCCCAAGGACAGGGGACAACAGGGTCCCCACTACCTGAGCCACAGGGCGTCCTCAGTGCTGAAGCCGGGAAGCCCTCAGGAGCCACGGGGGATGGGGTGGGCAGATTAGAGAAGGCACCAGAGGCGGAGGGCGGGAGGGTGAGGGCAGTGGCAGGCGGCCCATTGTGGGCCCAGTGCTTGCTTGCCCTCTGGGACAGCGGGCCCGATGGCACTCAGTTCCCAACCTTGTAGAACCCAGACTGCCCTCTAGTGGGGCACCCCTGTAGTCTCAGCACTTGGGAGGCTGAGGCAGGAAAATGGCTGGAATTTCACTCAGCCTGCCTATAGTGACATCCTATCTCAAGAAAAAACCCCAAAACAAAAAACTAAACACAAACAAAATCTACACACAGACCTGGGGTGTAGCTCAGCGGTGAGCACTTGCGTACCATGCTCGAGGTCCCAGTTTGATCTCTAGCACCATCATCAAAAAAAGAAATTAGTGGGTTTTTTTGTGGGAGTACCGGGGATTGAACTTGGGGCCTTGAGCTTGCCAGGCAGGCGGCGGAACCACTGAGCTACATCCCCAGCCCTCTTTAATGTCCTAGTTGAAAATACTTCTCTCTTAAGTCAGCATTTTTTTTTGTACTCCAGGTTGGCCTCAAAATTGTGGTGCTCCTCCTGCCTCAGCCTCCAAAGTGCTGGGATTACAGGTGTGCAGTTGCAGGAGCCAGCATTTTCAAAACCACAAAATGCTTCATGGATTTGTGTCTCCCCCTCAGGCCACACCAATCCCTTCCTTCTGCATCGCCCCATTCCAGCACCTGCCTGGCCCATTTTACAGATGAGGGTAGAAGCCCAGCTCCTGGGGATCGAGTCCCCGCCACGTTGCCCAGCTGTGCTCTGCCTCCCCCTGCTGCTGCACAGCTTCCACCAGCAGAGGGAACCTGAGACATGGACGTGTACAGCCAACCCGGCTGCACCCAGCCCCTTGCAGCTGCATCAGTACAGGGACCCTTGGGGCCACCATGCCTGCGCCCCATCCTCGTCACAGGTTCAGGAGCCAGGGCCAGTGGGGATGCAGAGGACACGGGGCCTGGGCCCCAGACCCTGGGCTCCCTGTCTAGGGGAGGCCCAGCGAGGCAGTCACCCTGGAACTTGACATTTCCTTTGTTCTCCTGCTGAGGTCTGGGGATGTGCTGAGTGGAAAGCAACCAGGTACTGTGGAAAAGGTGACAGGATAGAAAACACAAGCGAGCAGAGGACACTGACAAGCGCGAATGAAGCTATGTACCCTTAGCTGGGTGTAGTGGCGCACACCTGTGATCTTAGCACACTGGGAGGCTGAAGCAGGATCTCAAATTCGAGGTTACCTTGGGCAACTTGGTGACTGAGACCCTGTCTCAAAAATGGAAAAGGATGGAGATGCAGCTCAGTGCAAAAGCCCCAGGTTCACTCCCCAGCACCACAAACATCAATAGGTAAGGAAATGCTGTAAGTTCCTATAAACTCACGTGGTTTGGAGATGAACTTAAGACCCCCGGTGTGTCCTAAAGGTTGCGCTAACAGCTCTCTGGAAACTTAGCACCACGGTGCCTGTCCTACTTGGGACAGGCCCTGGGAAAGGTCACCACTGCAACCCTGGCCGGCAACATCGGTTGTCTTCAGGACGCTTGGGGAGGGGACTCCCTTACCGGGGCCTCAGTCTGGCCTGGCCTGGCCCTGCAGGTCCGAGAGGCTGTCTCTTGGTGCTTGTCCCCTGATGCTGACACTAAGCCACACTGAAAAACACTAACGCACGTCTGTAATCCCAGTGCTCTGGGAGGGTGAGACAAGACTCACATTTGAGCTCAGCCTGAGCAACTTAGTAAAACAAAAACACTAGGGATATAACAGTGTGAAGACATCAGGTTCAACTCAGTACTGCCAGAAAACAAAACTAAACAAAAATCCCACTCCCCCAGTGAGGAAAAAACCAGACACACACATAGGCAAAAAGCCTACTAATGCTAACTTGCTGCCTTAAAGTGGGGATGAACAAAAACTTCTGAGATAGTGCCCTGCTATGTAGCCCTGGCCTGGAACTCACAGCGATCCTCCTGCCTCAGCTTCCAGAGCGCTGGGATTGCAGGTGTGCGCATCTGGCTGGCTCAGTCCTTAAGCCTCCTAAGTGGTTCTGGGCTGGGTTAAATCCTGGCGGAAGGTGCCATAGCTGCAAGTGTCCACAAGAGGGCGCGTATCCCGGATCGCACCCTGCACACCACCTGCTGAGGGCTCCAGGGCTTTCTGCAGCCTAGTTCCAGGACCTTGCCATCACTCTCCTGCCCACTCTCCCAGGGGCAGGACCCAAGACTCCAGTCACCTAGGACAGCGCGGGTGTGGGTGTCGCCCTGGTGTGGACAACTGTGTGGCTAGGCACCCGGATGCCACCAGTGAGCAGCCAGCATGTGAATCTTCTCCAAATTAAATGTCTGAGATGAGTCCTGCTGCCTTCCCTGGGGGACCCCGCCCAAGGACACTCACAAATGCCCTCCACAGCCCGGTTCCCTGTGTTTTGGTTTTTGAGACTGGCCTCAAACTCCCAATGACCCTCCTGCCTCAGCCTCCGGAGTGCTGGTCTTTCAGATGTGTGCCACCACTCCGGGCCCCATCTCCGTCTCCACCCACAGCCTCTACTCTGGCAGGCCAGTACCCCACTGGGCCCAGGAACACCAGTGACAGGACAGGCTCAGACAGACGGCAGCGCCTGCTGCCGCTGCACGCACGCGCACACACAGGGTTCTCGTGGGCAGTGGGGTATTTATTTCACAATAGCCACTGGGGACCTCGCCTGGGGCCACCCTGGAGCTTACACTGGGGCACACGCGGCTCAGGACACGATGGGACACAGGTGACAAGGACGGCAATCACAGGGCTGTGGTCACAGCTCCAGGTGGGCGCTGGCATCTACAGAAGCGGAGGCGAGGAGACCTAAACTACCAAACTACCAGGGCCCCCAGGGCCTGCGTGCTTGCCTGCCTCAGCCTACTTGGCCATGGGGTTTCTGAAGTTCCTGCCGGCGAACTTGGCCTTGCTGCCCAGCTCCTCCTCGATTCTGGGAAAGAAAGGGCGGGTCAGGGCCCCCCGAAGCTCCTCCCAGCTGCCCACTCTGGGCTTCCTGGCGGACCCACCTCGGCCCCTACCTGAGGATCTGGTTGTACTTGGCCAGGCGCTCGGATCGGCATGGTGCACCAGTCTTGATCTGCAGAGAGAAGGCAAGGCGGGCGGTGGGCACAGCAGGTGGGGATGAAGGCGGAGCTCCGGGAAGAGCCGTGGGCGCTCGCTTACCTGCCCGGTGCTGAGTCCCACCACCAGGTCAGCAATGAAGGTGTCCTCCGTCTCCCCAGAGCGGTGGGACACCATGACGCCCCAGCCGTTGGACTGGGCAAGCTTGCACCTGGGGGCCGGGGAAACACATGGGCCCCACCTCAGTTTCCTTGAGCTGCCCTGGGCCCCTGAAGGAGATAAAGCCTCAACGCCTGGCCTTATCAAGAGCAGAGTTTGGAAGCTGGGTGTGGTGGGGACATGTGCAATCCCAGCACTGTGGAGGCTGAGGCAGGAGGATCTAAGAGTTTGAGGCCAGCCTGGACTACACAGAGTGACAAGCCAAGGGGCAAGGCAGGCATCCTCAACCACCCGCCCCTCCCAGTGTCCACACAAGAGCTTCACTGCCCACGGGACCTAAGCCACAAGGAGCCAGGATGGCGACTGCTCCGTGCCAGGGCCTGTGGCACCATGGTACGCGTCAGGGCCACCCAGAATACTCACGCCTGCAGGGACTCGGTCACCGAGCCAATCTGGTTGACCTTCAGCAGCAGGCAGTTGCAGGCCTTCTCGCTCACGGCCTTGGCGATGCGCTTGGGGTTGGTCACCGTGAGGTCATCACCCACCACCTGGATGCCCGCGCTGCCTGTGAACTTCTGCCAGGCCTGCCAGTCGTCCTGGTCGAAGGGGTCCTCGATGGACACCACTGAGGGGTGAAGGCACGGCACAGCGTGAGATGGGCTGGGCTGGTGACAGAGCCCCGCTGTCCTCGCCACCCTGCTCTCTTCCTTGGGGGACTCGAGTCTGGTGCTGCTGAGCAGAAGCAAGGCCGCCTCATCTGGGAGTGGGGTGGGCGGGGCGTAGCTCGGGGCAAGGCCTGGCACACACCAGGGCCCAGGCTCCACCCCAGCATTGCAAAAACAAAATTCTTATTTTTTTGTTTTGTTTTTTTTGGTACCTGGGATTGAACTAGGGTCCTTGAGCTTGGGAGGCAGGCGGTGAAACCATTGAGCTACATCCCTGGCAAAATTATTTTTATCCCCAGTACCAAAAAAAAAAAAAAAGCAAGCACAGAGCGGGATGTGGTGGCTGTAATCTCAGTACTCAAAAGGCTGAGGCAGGAGGATTGCTGAGTTTGAAGCCAGTCTGGGCTACACAGTTCAAGGCCATCCTGAACTACATATTGAGACCCTGTCTCAAAAAACACAAAGAAACTGAGCATAACACTGCACACCCCAAACCCAACACCTGAGGAGGCTGAGGTAGGAGGATCCCAACTCCAAGCCCAGCCTGGGCAATCTAATGACTTAGTGAGACCTTGTCTCAAAATTTAAAAAGAAGAAGAAAAAATGAAGTCACAAAATGTAACGGTGAAGTGCAGTCTGGGGTCTGACTCCCAGGTCTTAATTCTTGCTCCAACACTTGTTGTGCTCCTGGGCCAGTAACAATAATCCAACACACACACACACCAGTGCCTCCGTCTCCCCTCCTGCGGCCCCGCTCACCTGGGTAGTCCCTGATGAAGGACTTGTAGAGGTCGGCCAGCTGGTCAGGCGAGATGTACCTGCTGGGGTCGTCGGGGGACTTGAAGTCCAGGTCATACTTCCCGGAACGGAAAAACTCAGACGCGGCCACGTCCATGCCGATCACCACCTTGTCCGTGTAGCCGGCCTTCCCGATGGCGTTCTTCAGCAGCTCCAGGGCTAGGGACACAGGTGACGGGGTCACATGGGGTCCGGAGGGGAGGAAGGGGCGGCAGGCACCCGGGCACCGCCAACCGCCACGGAGACTCGCAGCCACTCCTAGAAAGCGGCCTCTCTCTCGACAGCTGGGCAGGCTGACGCTGGGACAGAGCGGCGCGCAGCTGAGGGAGGCTGTCCCCAGGCCAAGTCCAAGAGAGGCCGGATAGGGGCCGGGGGGAGCCCTGGCGGTGTGGCCTGCCTGCCTGTCCCGGTCCCTGGTCTGACTTCTGACGGACCCTAAAGAGGGCTGCCTCGTGCGGTCAAACCAAACACAGGCCGAGTGTTTTCTCTCACTAGCCGCGCTCAGTGTGGCTGATCCCCCTAAAATAAAGAACTTGGGGCTGTGCACAGACGCACTGCAGGTGTGCGCCCAGCCTGGGCAAATGAGACCCTGTCTCAAATTTAAGAAAAGCCCCCTGCCTTGCCTGCAGGTCCGGGGTGGGGTGCACCCGGTCAGAGGCTGTACCTTCCTTGTTCTCCAGGATGTTGGGCGCGAAGCCCCCCTCGTCGCCCACGTTGGTGGCGTCCTTCCCGTACTTGTCCTTGATGACGCCCTTCAGGCTGTGGTAGACCTCGGCGCCAATGCGCATGGCCTCCTGGAAGCTCGCCGCCCCCACGGGCAGGATCATGAACTCCTGCATGGCCAGCTTGTTGCCCGCGTGGGAGCCGCCGTTGATCACGTTGAAGGCCTGGGGGGGGCAGGGTCAGCGCAGGGACAGGATCAGGGTCACCGGTAACCCGGGGTCTCGAGTCCCTGAGGCAGCGGCGTCCACCCCAGCGCCACCTAAGGCCCCTCGAGCTACTCACCGGGACAGGCAGGATGACCTCAGCGTTGCCGGCCAGGTCGGCGATGTGGCGGTACAAGGGCACCCCCTTCTCCACGGCACCAGCCTTGCATACGGCGAGTGACACCCCCAGGATGGCATTGGCCCCGAACTTAGCTGCAGCAGCAGGAGGTGAATCAGTTTCCATTGTCACCTGCGGTCCTGGGGACTGGACCCAGGGTCTCTGCAATGAGCTACATACCCAGCCCTTTGTTCTGTTTTTATTTTGCAACGGGACCTTGGTGAGTCACTGAGTTGTCCAGGCTGGGCTTGAACTTGTGATCCTCCTGCCTTAGCCTCAAAGGTATTTGTTTGTTACTCGCCTGTCTTTCTCCTGCTGGCCTTGTACCCAGGAAGCCTTTCCTCTTCTCTCTACGGACTCACCTGCAGCCCCCAGACACCCTGACAAATTCCACCATTGCCTGATTACACAGGGCAACCTATGAGAGTTCACAAAGACTGGCATCATCTGGCGATGCTCCTGGCATTTAAAATGTTAACTTTTAGGGTGGGGGATTTAGCCCAGTGGTTCTGTTGCCTGCCTCACAAGCACAAGGTCCTGAATTGGATCCCTGGTACCCACCCCTAAAAGTAACTTTTTTTTTGGTACAGGGATCGAACTCGGGACCTTGTGCTTGCATGGCAGGCACCAGAACCACTGAGCTAAATCCCCCGCCCCCCAAAAGTAACTTTTAAGCCGGGCATGGTGGCACACACCTATACTCCCAGCACACGGGAGGCTGAGGCAGGAGGATCTCCATGAGCGAGAGGCCAGCCTGAACTACAGAGTTACAGCCTCTGGAAAAACCCCATTAGTACTAATAATGAAAGGAAAAATGTTAAAGCGAAGCAATGGAAAGAAGCCACGCTCCGAATCTTCCTGAGTGTCAGCCGATCCCCAGGGGCCCGGGCCCCGCACCCAGCACTCACATTTGTTCTCCGTCCCGTCCATCTCGATCATCAGCTTGTCGATCTTCTCCTGCTCCACCACATTCAGTTTCTGGAGGGAGAGAGGAGGCTGAGCCCTGGGGCGGGGCGTGCAGGGTCCAGATCCATTTAGTGCCCAGCGTTTGTTTTATGGGCATGGAGTGGATGGGACCTCAGGGGCCCGTGGGCTCCAGCCCTGGCCCCAGAAGCAGACAGGGAAACACGAAGTGGCGGTCACCTTTAAGGGATCAGGCCCTTCTCTCAGCCAACACTGAGGGTCCCAGTCCCCTCAGTGTCCGAGGTCACCTCGCACACCAGCCAGGCCGGTCTACCATGGGCTGGGAAAGCTGTTGCTAGAGAGGGACTCTGGGGCCATAAATAAAGCCCAGTGCTCAAGCAAGTGGGGTCTTGTGAAGCTCGGCTCTGTGGCTGCTCACAGTCTGCATCCTCTGAAAGGATCCAGGATTTCCTTTTTTTTTTTTTTTTTGGTACTGGGGATTGAACTCAGGACCTTGTGCTTTCTAGACAGGCAGTGGAACCGCTGAGCTAAATCCCCGGCCCTTCCTTATTTTTTTGAGACAGTGTCTCACACTATAGCTCGGGCTGGCCTTGAACTCATAGGGATCCTCCTGCCTCAGCCTCCAAGTGCTGTACTGGGATTACAGATGTGCATCACCACACCTATCCCTGGCTACTTGATTTCTGCAGGTAGCCCAGAATCATTCAGCAAAATATTTGAAGACTCTAAAATAATGTGGTATCTTGAAAATTGGCTCAAAGTACTACTCTTAACAAAACCCAACAAAAAGGTTTTTTTGGTACCCAACAAATTTTTAATAAAAATCAATCATAACGCATGACTTTATAAATAACATTCTCCACACAGAAACCAAAACCCGAAGCCTGGATGTGGCAGTACACCCTGTAATCCTAGTTCTTGTGAGGCTGAGGCAGGCGGGCAGGGTTGGGGCCAGCTAGGGTACACAGCAAGACTGTGTCTCTAACTGCATCGAGCCCCCTCAGCAACCTGGTATCTGGTGCTGTTTTCCACAGCATCATTGGAGGCAGTGGTTACCCAGGCAACCTGCGTGCTCCCAGGGGACACAAAGAGCATGGTGTGTGTGGAGGCACCCAGGGGACGGGAACCGAGTGGGCATGGACCAATTAAAGAGTGGCAGAGGGCAGGCCAAAATAAGCGAGCAGGGACAGGCCATAGAGGGTGAAGCTGGGGGGCCAGGTGTGCAGAACAGGGCAGTGTGGAGGGCAGAAGGACCCCCCACAGAAGCTCTACTTCTGCCTGGTGCATAAACTCGTTTCAAGCAAGACTTTTTATTTCTTATGTGGTGCTGGGGATGGAAGCCAGTGCCTCCTGCTGCCCTGGAGCCACAGCCCCAGAGCCCTGAGGAATCTCTCCAGGGAGCTGAGGTCTTGTGGTGTGGCCCAGGCTGGTCTGGAACTCCTGGGCTCATGTGGCCCCCTTCCTTCAGCCCCAGGAGCCATCTAGCCTGACGACAAGGAAATATCACCCAGCAAGAGCTTTACTGTTGGAACAAGGCGGCAGGAGTGCGCGGAAAACCCCGACGGGCAGAGCCCCCAAGATGCACTCTTCGGATCTGGATCCTTATTTCCCAGAGGTCAAGACAGCTGCGGGGTGGAGGTGCTGGTGGGGGCACAGTCTAACTTCAGCACTCTGAGGCTGAGGCCAGAGGACCTCCTTGAATTCAAGGCCAGCCTGGGCTACACAGGAGACTGTCTCAACAACACTCAACCCCTCCCAAAGTAAGACAGCTGCAGGGAAAAGGCCGAGGGGGGACAGGTCCAGCTCCAGCTCCCACTCCCACTCCCACTCCGGGTCCAATTCCAGGTGCGGTTGGCAGGGCGCCCCTCATGCACACACAGGGAATCCGCCCGGCTTCTGAGCTCTCAGAATGAGCAGCAGGAGGGTCCCTCGCCTGGGTGGGATTTGGGGGCACCGACCGGCATCAGTGACAGGGCAAGGCCTACCTTGCTAACCAGGGCAGGTGCAATAGTTTTATTGATGTGCTCAACAGCCTTTGACACACCTGGAGAGAATAATCAACCGATTACTGACATCCATTAGGAACTCAGGCCTGAGCAGTGCTGCTACAGAACCACTAAGGCCGGGGGCCAGGGGCCAGGAGCCCCCCAAGCCCCGGGCCCTGTCGGCACCCTTCCCGCTCCCCATCTGGCTTCAGCCCAGTCTGAGCGCTCACACCTGGGACCCACAGGTTAGAGCCACACAGGGGCAGCCCGCGCGTGCCCAGAGGGTTAGTGTCACCACCATGCTCCAGGCCGCCGGTGGCCCATTACCTGTGTGCACAGGGCCGGCGCCAGGAACTCATTGACATACTTAACCGGTCTGGAGACGCCTGCCCCACCAGAGGACAGAGAAGGAGAGAGAGACAGAAAAGCGGGTGGGAGGATGCCGAGGGGACAGAGCGAGGAAACATGAGGCGGTGGCAAGGACCCGGTGGGCCTTCTGGGGTCTCAGTGGCCACCGGTGCCACAGGGCCAAGTGGACAGGCAGCCTGAGTGCTGCGGCCTCCGCCCTGGACATCCAAGCACCTCGATGTGCTGCAAGCCCATCTCAGTCACACCGAGAGAGCGCCCGCCCCTGGGTCTGTCTGTGTGCTCTGCCACCACCTGGCCAGCAAGTGCCAGAGTCCTACAAGAGAGCCCTGAACCCGGCTGAGCCCTTCCCAGGAGAAGGAGACCCTCGTCCTTAGTGTCAAATCACAGGTCCCCTTTTCCCCGCCCCCGGAGGAGACAAAATGTAGTAGAAACCAATGGAACAAGGATGTGGCTCTGCCGCTGCCGAAGTCCCCACGGCTGCTGTGTGGTCACTGCTGCCACTGTGAGTGCCTCCACAGTGCAGTCCCAGGGATGCCTCGGGGCCCGGCCTCACCCTTGCCCATGTAGCGGGTCTTGTCATTGTCACGCAGCTCCAGGGCCTCATAGATGCCAGTGGAGGCGCCGCTGGGGACAGCAGCTCGGAAGAGACCTAGATGAGGGAGAGGGCGACTGAGAAAGATGGCAAAGACATGAGGCCAGCTCCCTCCCACACACAGATGGCAGCTGTCATGGGGAGACATTGTCATTTTTTTCTATCAACTGGGAAGTTCCAGCAGCCCGTTCCTCCTGCCCCTCAGGTTTTATGATTCGGCAGTGCAGACCCTGATACGGCAGATGGACACCTCCAGTTTAATGAAAACGACCCCAAGCAGAGTTTCTTGAACTTTAATGCACCCACAGGCCACCTGGAGAGCTCACTAAAACACAGATTTTAGCCAAGCGTGATGGTGCAGGCCTGTAATCCCAGCACCCGGGAGGCCGAGGCAGGAGAACTGCACAGAGTTTAAGGCCAGCCTGGGTTACATATTTAGACCCTGTCTCAAAAAAACCCCAAAAAACCAAAGATCAAGCTGATCCCACAGGCGAGGGGGCTGCACAGCATCCCAAGAACCCTGGGAATTCACCATGAAGCACACGCCCAGCAGGGGGTGGGCTCACCATGGCAGGCAGAGGCAAGACTCGAGGATGCTCCTGGGGGGTGGGGGGGAAGAGGGGGCGGAAGGAAAGGGCTGGGCCTGTGACTAAACAGTGACTCAGCTCTGACTGGCAGGTCCTGGTGAGCCGCTAGGCCTGGGTAAGGCTGCCAACCGCACCCACCGCTGGAGGAACACAGTCCCCGGGAGATGCCCATTTTCTCAGGTTTCTTCCCTGTTTTTGAGAGCCTGTCAGGTTACCCGGGCTGGCCTGAACCCTCCAGTCCTCCTGCCACAGCCTCCCAGGTAGTTCACAAACGAAGCTCTTTCCAGGAGACAGTCAGGCTGAAATGAGAGCCTTCACCGCCTCAAATGCGATTTCCAGACCAGACTGTGGCACCGAGCACTCCGACCCTGAGCCCCTCCGACCTTTCCTTATCGAGAGGAAGGGCTCACGCTAGCACAGGCACCTGCTCATTTGGTCACAGCAAGCTGTGTGGCAATGGGTCCAAGGCGTCACCTTACCGCCCGCCTCAGATCCGGGAGCGGCCTGCACTCTAATGGACACTCTGGCAGTGAGCCCACAACTCCTGCCTATGGGCCCCACCTCCCGGGGTCACAGCTCATCAGCACAGTTGCAGGAATGGACTTTTTCTTGCCCAAAGCACTGTAAGACCATTTGCTTGTTTACTCACTTATTCGTTCATTGATTTTTTTGAGACAGAGTCTCACTATGTAGCCCAGGCTGGCCTTGAACTCAGAGATCCTCCTGCCTCAGCCTCCCAAACTCTGGGATTACAGGCATGGGCTACCATGCCTGGCTCAATGAGACCTATGTTTATTTATTTATTTTTGGTACTGGGGATTGAACTTGGGTCCTTGCACCTGGCAAGGCAGGTGCCGGAACCACTGAGCTAAGTCCCCAGCCCCAGACCTATGTTTAAATGGAACACGGCAGAAGGAACTCTGGACACCAAGGTGGCATTTACCTTTGTCTGTGTAGAGATCAACTTCAACAGTGGGGTTCCCACGAGAGTCAAAGATCTCTCGGGCATGGATCTTGAGAATAGACATGTTGGATCTCTGTGGAGAAACACAGTTCATATTTCCACAGATAAGCAAAGCACCTGCTCATTCATTCCGGGGACCACTTCCGAGGACCCCCAGACTGCACTGGCCTGAACACTGGATACAGGAAGCCTTACCGGCTCTGGAAAACTTTAAGGAGGCTGGGGGCCAAGAGTGCAGCTGGGGTGGGGTGCTGGGCCGGGGTGCTCGGGCCCTGGCTCTGCCCCCAGCACAGCAGGCTGTGGTCTGAGGGTGCTGCTCAGAGGCAGAGCGGATGCTGAGCGTGTGCTGCCCATGGTTCAATCCCCAGCACCAACAGGAAATAACAGCAGTAGGTAGGGCCCAGGCCTGGACGCCCCTGCCCAAGACTCAGGCCTCATTCTGTGAATAGAAAAAGCCCAAGAATGTGCAGACCGGGAGGAAACCAAACTGGGTGGGAAAGACGAACGTGGAAGCCATGCAGAGCGGCTCTCAAGTGGGTCACCATCACCAGTTAGCAGCGGGCTTGGCCTGTGGATGGAGCGGGATGGAGGCCAAACAGCAGGGCAGAAGGGATGTGAAGGTCACGGACAACCAGAAAGGACAAGGGCCAAAGGAAGGGTGAAGGCAAGATGCAAAACTGGCTTTTGCACAACAGTGACTGGAGTCTGGGGTGAAATTCATAGCAGGAAACCTGAAGCAGCATAGTGGATTCGACCCAGCGATTTGATGGTTAAAATCTGAGTCTGAGGGTCAGGAAAAAACAGTTCCTTGGTCTGTGATTACTGCTACTGCCATTTTTGGGGCCTTTCAAATTTCACAGTATGTGAGACACTAGGAACAACATCTCATCACATTTCCTTCAAAGGGCACTTTACTGTATTTGAAAGACTTAAGTGTGAAATGTTATGATTTGTAAGTAAAGATTCTATCTTTTCTTTGTTTTTTTTGGTACTGGGCACCGAACTCGGGTCCTTGCGCTAAGATTCTATCTTTGAACGCCAACGGAAAAGGCTTTCTTTACGAACATTGATTTTGTGGGGGTTTTTTTGGTACCGGGGATCAAATTCCAAACCTTGGGCTTGCAAGGCAGGCAGCAGAACCACTGAGCTAAATCCCCTGCCCAAGAACATTTAGGGGAAAAAAAAAAAGGAAGCTGGGCGTGGTGGAGCAGGCCGGCAATCCGAACAGTTGGGAGGCCCACCTCAAATTTGAGGTGGGCCTGAAATACATAGGAAGACCCTGTCTCAAAAAAAAAAGAGAAAGAAACAAAGAAACAAAGCATTTGTAGCAGCAAAGAAATAAGTCTTCAAAGAAAGCCCCTTTCTCCCCTTCGGGGTGCTCCAAAATAAAGCAATCCATCACTAAAGGCCTGAATCGGTGCTCGGGAACCTTTGTCTGCCGGCGCTCCCCGGGTCACCTTCTCTGGAAGGTTCTGAGGCAGGAAGGGGCACCTTTTTTTTGGAGTTTCAAAATGAGACACGGAAGCCACTTCTGTGGTTCTGTTGTCTGTGTAACAATGGAGTTCTAGTCATCGACCAAAAAAAAACAAAGTAGTTTTCATCTACCATGTTCCAAAAAGGCAAATTTGTTTATAAACCATTCCTAGTCAACCTTACCGACCATGCTACACAGACTGACTTTGTAGACTTCGGACGCATTTATGAACACATCTTTATCTCACATCCGCAGCATTTCTGGTTTCGTTTTAGTGACAAAAGATGAAATAATCAGTTTCACCATAAAATGTGATTTATCTTTAAATAGGACGGAAAAGCTATACTCCAAAGTCATTCAAATTCAGCGAGCGAGGACCTGGAAGAGGCCTGGCCTGAACCTCGGACCAGGGGCACAACACGTGGATCCCGAAGGCCATGCTACAGCGGCTGTGGCCAGCCTGGAGGCCCTGGCCCTTTCGCCTAACTTGGGCGAGGTCCCCGGCGGGGCTTGCTAGTGATCCAGCGGCCCTGCTCGGAGTCTGCAGCCCAGGGATTGGTGACCAGCGCCACTCGGTGCTCGGTCCCCGACCGGGAGACTGGGAGACCACCAGACCCGGGGCTGCAGGCTGCGCCTGGAGGGTAGGGGGGACTAGGGAGGGGAGGAAGACTGCGGCCTCCGGAGCACCTCTGTGCCTCCCCCTCCTCCATTTTGGACGAGGCTGGTTGGAGAGGGCACGGAGTGAGGCGATCTCCGTCCCCGAGGCCGTGCCGGGCCCCCGATGGTGCGCGGCCTTCCGCTGCCCAGGCCCGCTGCCTCGCGCGGTGCGCGCGCTGCTCCTGACCTTCTGGGCCCCGCGGCTCCGGGTTCGCACGTGGGTTTGTGCCTCGTGCGCCCCCGGGTAGCACGTGCATCTGTGCCTTGTCCCCCTCTGGGGGTCACACGTGGATCTGCTCTTTGTCCCCCCCAAAACATTGCAAGCCCCACAGGTGTGCCCGCTGCTGTGCCCCGCCCGTAACGTGGCTGAAGTGAACTTCGGGGGCCCCGTGGGGGGCCGCGTCGTGGCCGGAGAGGGGGCTCGCAGGTGCCCAGGACCCCCGCCCCAAGCCCGCGCCGCCGAGGGGAGACCCCGAGCCGCCCGCCTGGAGCCCCTCTCAGAAACTTCACCTGGCCACCGGATCTCGTCGCCCGGAAGAGAAAGAGGGTGCTGCAGAAACGTAGGTTCGCGTTAAACTGGCGAGACGAAGGAGCCCCCCGAGCCCCCTAGCTGCTCTCGCTCCGCCCGCCCCGACTTCCGCCCCAGCGCGCGAGACCCCGCCCAGTGTCCCCCCCCGGGGGGGGGCCCCGACCACTCGGCCTGGCCGCGCCATTGGCCAGGCGAGCCGTCGCTCAGACCCTCCGCGGGAAGGGGCGGGATTGCGCCTGCTGCTCCAGCCGCCCGGGGCGCGGGGCGCGGGGCGCGGGGCGGCCGGGCCTTGGGGGCTGTGGGTCCCCGGCGGCTGCGTCGCGGAGCTGGCGCGCTCCCACGTAGGGGCCCTGCAGCCGAACGGGCGGCTGCGGGATCGAAGCCGGGGTGCGGCCAGGGGCGGGGCGGCGCGGCGGGCATGAGGGCTCGGGACCCGGTCACGTACTGCGAGTCCCGCACGCACTCGCACTCGGCGTCCGCGTGATGGCTACGACCTTGGGGACGACCTTCGGGGCGGCCCCGCCCACCGCGAGAGCCGAGACCTGCGGCGTGGACGTTGGGCAGCGGGGCTGCAGGCCGGTGCGCCTGCGCGCCCGTCTGGGTCCTTGCGAGCCCGCCAAGGTGACCCTTGTCTTTGTCCGACCGGCGGGGCCAGAGAGGCTCCTCCACCTTGTCACGTGTTCATTTATGGTCGTGCTGGAGCGTGAACCCTGCGCCTCGCACGTGTTAAGCACGAACTACCACGAGGCAGCACCCCAGCCTCTCCCACCACTGGAGCCTCAGTAGCCCTGGTACCTGCTGCTTGCAGAAAGCCTAGTAGCCAGCCTTGCCTGCCGCGGGCCGTAGATCACCCCCACCTCCATTCTTGTGAACCCTGCGTGTAATTAGAATGGAAGAAATGGAGGTAGAGACACAAGGAAAATATGACTTTTAAAACTACTTTTAGCCAGGCGTGGTGGCACATGCGTGTAGTCCCAGTACTTGGAAGGCTGAGTCAGGAGGATCGCCGCGAGTTTGAAGCCTGCTTGGGTTACATAGTTAAAGTCCCTGTCTAAAAACAAAAAAACTCCTGGATAACAGGAAAGTTACTCAAGCCTTCTAGAAACTCACCCTTCTGTCCCCGCAAAGAGAACAGACGTGTACGTGTTTTAGACACAATAAACCTGTAAATTGGGCTCTGGGCCTGTGCTTTTCACCTCTAAACCGCACTTCCTTCCACCAACTTCCACCCTCAAGAAAGCGGCAATGTAAGATACTAGAGGGCAGGGGTCTCAACTTAAAATGCGTAAACAGCCCACCCTGTGGGTGACCTGACGGCAGAAGCACACATCCCAAATAACCCATCTGGAAGACACCCCCAAAGCCCCAAATAAATACCCAGCTCCCGATCATAAGGGGGTTCTCTTCCACCTCTCTCCATCTGCACTCTCTTTGTGTACTTTTAAATTTCTGCCTAATAAATCCCTTTATGCCTCTTAATGAGGAGTCCTGAAAAGTTTTCTTCTGTGTTAAAGCCTGTGAACCTGAATCTTAATTCAACGGGCAGGGTGGGTGCAGGTTCCTTACCTCCCTCAGGGACCTTAGGGACCTGGGACAATGATCTGGGATTGGAATTTCACGTAGGCCCAAGGAATTTCTCAGAGTTGTGTCAGGTAATATTCCAGGATGGTTTGGCAAATGAAAATCAGGAAGCGTTAGGTAAGGTCATTTTACCTTGATCACCATTAAAAATCAGCTGGGGCCCCCACTCCGGGAGAGCTGGGTTGATTGCCTCATTTTCTGTTGTGTTTTCTCAGCCTTCCCCCTGGTCTGCAAGCCTGAGAGCTAAAACGTCATACATCCCTGTATTTTCCATATCATCTTGTGTTGAGCGGTTCAAAGACATTCTTTAACTTGATTATTTATCTTCTGATCAGATACAAAAGGGCATGCCGTATCGTTTTGATCCTGGTGCTCCTTCCTGCTCTAGGTTTCAGTGGCACTGTGTAAAAATGAAGGCCAATGAATCCATGGCATTTGCTCTCCACTGACTAAGAAGCAAGCTATTCAGGACTAAATTAAACGAAGCAACAAGGAACATTTTAGATGTGTCCTTAGAGTGTCACGAATTTTGCAAGCAGAGTGTGATTTCTCCAGTAACACACAGACGGTTTTGGCTGCGAAAACCCAATATCCCCAGCCCCGTGATTCAGCAGCTGGATCAACAGCTGAGGTCTCCTAAACCTTGTAAGAGTTGTAAGAAATCAGACATTTGAAACTTATTTTCAGAGCAGTTCTAAGGCGTGGTCCTGGAAGGCCCCCAAGCAATCTTTCTCTTCCTTTAAACTGGTTAGAGAGATAAAGACGGAAGACAGGGCTCTCCTGACTGTTGTCTGGCCCTGACTTGTGAACCTAGCGAGAGTCAAAGGCAGAACAGGATCTTAGCTGCTATTGAAAGACTCCTGAAGGCCCCTGTGCAGCATCCAGAGCCAGCATTTGAACCTCAAACTGGCTCAAACGTTAATGGTTAGTAATCATTCCTTCAAGTCTACCTTGTTTCCCAAATTCACAGGCTGCCAGGTGCCCTCACTGTCTCCGTGGCTCCAGAGGCTTGTGACAGGTCGTCCCGGGGCCACGGGGCTCCAGATGCTCACCTGGCCACCGGTGCTGCTGTGCTTCACTGTTATCTCCACTTGCAGTATGCGTGCATGCGTCACCTGAAGCCCTGCAGTGGATCTGCAGCTGGGAAGCCCAGGGGAAGGAGAGGAGCTGCTGTGGGGCCGGGACTTGACCCACCTAGATTGCTGGTTCTACCTGCAAGACACTGGTCAGCACAGAAAGTCACGGCCTCTTTATGGAGGAGGGCCGACTTCCAGGCAGCATGAGGCACCCCAGGCTGGTAAGGTCTCAGAGGAGTGTGGAAGGCCCTTGGGGATTAGGTGAACGAGCCTTCCTCCTAGTGGGTCAACAGTGGCCTGTGGCCTAGCAGGGTGGCGGTTGCCTGTAATCCTGGCAGTTCAGGATGCTGAAGCCCTAAGTTCCAGGGCCTAGGTTCAATTCCCACTATGGAAAGAAAAAAAGGGGGCTGCAGAACTATAGCTCTGGTGGAGCATGGGCTCAGCATGCAGGGCCCTGGATTCCATCCCGGCACCAAAACAAAACACAAATCTAGAGGATTTTGTGTTTATCACTATTTTAAAAATTGTTTTGTTCTTTTTTTCTTTCTTAGACTTCTATAATAGACTACTAAAACTAAGAAGACTAAGACTACAGATTATGGACCAAGGTTTATTTTTATTTTTATTTAAAAAAATTTTTTTGTTACCTGAACTCAGGACCTTGTGCTCCCGGCCCTGGACCAAGGTTTATGATGTCATCCATACACCCTGATACTACTGGGTCAATATTCCCTAATCTGCTGTACTCATAATCTTACTGGTTGATGATAGTTTCTATCTACATTGTACCCACCCCTCAGGACTTTGCTCTATAAAACTCCCTGTGAAGGGGCGGGGATTTAGCTCAGTGGTTCCACCACCTGCCTCGCAAGTTCAAGGTCCCGAGTTCAATCTCTGGTACCAAAAAAAAACACCTCCCTGTGAGAAGTGGGCTCCTTGGCAACCCAGGGACCCCTCCTGTCTCCCAGGAGTTATTCTTATTCCCCATTCCTGTTCCCCAATAAATTTCCTACTCTTTTTTTTTTTTTTAAATATAATATGGCCTTTATTCAGAATAAGATGAAACTCCACTGGCCTGGGAATCGGGCATCTCTTTTCTGTGACATTGTAACTATGTTGATAAGCTTAACTGACAGGCTGTTTATCTGAAAAAGATGCAAATTAGACAAACTCCATGAGTCCTTCCAGTTCTTACATCCTGTGAATCCTGAACTAAATGAAGCCATGTGAAGCCCCATAAATATATTTCCCAAATGCCAAGCATACAACGGGGATCAGATATTACTTCATTTGACTTTGAAACCTGTGCAGGAGAGGTGTAGGTGATGGCACTCTTCTCTAATCCTGAACTATCTATCAACAGTCCCTCTAAGCGAAGGAGAAGCACACATTTTCTGTAAAGAAAGTAAACATTTTAGGGGCCAGGGATTTAGCTCAGCGGTTCCACTGCCTGCCTCAAAAGCTCAGGGACCTGAGTTCGATCCCCAGTACCAAAAAAACAAAACAAAACAAAAGAAAGTATAGATTTCATGGGCTTAAAGATCTTTCTCTTTGTTGCAACTACTCAACTTTCTCTTTGTAATTTGAAGTAGACAATGTGTAAATGAATAAGCTTGGCTGTGCTACACTAAGATAGTTTTTCTTTAAAAAGGTAGTGGATCCGAGTTTGATCTCCGGTACCAAAAAAAAAATAAATTAAGAAAAATAAAAATAAAAAGGTAGTGGACCAAATTTCGTCAAAGGGCCATAGTTTGCTAAGCTCAGGTGTGTATGGTGCCCAAGGAATGCACAATGCCTAATATGGAATGACCTGACTGAGTGATTTCAAGATGCCAAAAATGTACCTGCTAACCCGAGGAGACAGTTATTTTGGTGACGGGCAAGAAAGAAAGATTTTAATAACCACATCTTGGTAACCTGATAGGGAATTGGCTTCCTTCTCATACCTTGTAAATTGCCTCCCTACTGCCACCTTCTTACCCCTCAATAGACAAGTTAGGTGGGGGTTTTCACTTCATTGAAACTATTCATTAAGACCACACTGAAATCTACTAATCTCTGAAGCCATTCTTGGTTTATAGTACACTCAAGTTGTAGTACCACATTGTATCTATTTTTTTCTACAGCATTGGGTAAGTTAGTAGCAATGTGCCCTTGGACAAGGTATCTATTTTTTGTACCTCCTTTCCTCACTTAATAATTAGACATGCTACTGTGAAATTATATAAATTAGCAAAACCGCTTCAAAGTGCTCAATAGATGTAGTTTAAAAATTATCACCAAAACCTGCTCATGCACACATTTTCCAGCACTTCCACCTCATATACACATCTTCCCTTTTGCAGGCTACAAAGCACTGGTGCAATACATAGCCTTGCCCTGAACTATGTTAAATGTTTGGTGCACAATGGATACTAGCATTTCCTTGGAAGACATTAATGTCCATGTTTGTAAGCGATCACGTAAGTGCTGTCAATGAAACCTTATGAAGAAAACAAGGCGTGGACTACTAGACAGTCCAACTTCAGGGAGCAAGAAACAAGCTCTGTACCCTCCTGAATTATAACCTAGGCCTAGAGACTTCCCACTCGGGGAGTTTTACATGATGAAAACGGTCCCTCGATAAGTTCCTGAGCTTTGGGATAGCTGGGTTTAGGGGCTGGTAACGGGTCTAAGAATTCCAAGCCCCAGGTGTTCGTTCCCAGACACGGTAGTAGCTTAGGATAAGCCGTTCCTCTACTCAATCATCATTTATTCATTCACCCATTCCCTCTGCCATCTTTCTAGGCACCTCCTCTGTGCCAGACACGACGCTGGGCTCCGGGTGTGCAGTGCTGAGGCCCCATGCTTGGCTCAGCAGGGTGGCCGGCAGCGCCCAGCTTAGGCCGCCAGGGACAAGCAGAAATGTGGGACGAGCCCGGAGACGACTTCCCACATCAGCTTCCATCCAGCTACCCAGCCAGGCTCCCCACCTGCTCACCTGGGCCCCCCTGATGGGTGGTGCCTGAGGTCCCAGAGGTGTACAGAAGTCCAAAACTCTGTTTTAGCTCTAAATTTTCCTACTCTTAACCTCTGTTGTTCCTTAGAATTCATCGACTCCAGGGAGCAGGAACTTGGCGTGTCTGACCTCTAGCAGGTTGGGAGTTACATCTATGCGCCCTGCACCACCACACCTGATTTCTGGGCACTCTGTCCTGTAGCTGTGTGTTTCACCTGGTGCCCGTCACATTCTGGCCCTGTGCTCCGGTTGGTCCTGTTTCTTTCTGCTTCCTCGTTGAGGCCCGCAAGGCTGATCACCACAGACTGACACCCAGGACGCCCGAACTCCAGCTTTGTGCTTAGGGTTTGGATCACTTCTGCCTGCCATGACAACCTAGGGTTTCTGATCTGGGTTGAAAAAGCCAAGTCCAGCTCTTTGCGCTTTTTCTAGGAATAAAACCCCTCATGGTTCTCAGCGTGCCACTCTTCCCAGTGCCCCTTTGTGAAGAAACTGTAGGGATGGGGTCTGTAAATGAGAAAATAAATAGGGGCCTCTGTACGTCTTCTAGCTAATCCTGACTAGGAGTTAAAAGCAAACTTTACTAGAGAGGTTCCCCAGGGAAGCAAGTCAAAGACGGGCAGAAAAAGAAAAACAAAACAAAAAAACAGATAAAGAAAGGCACCAAGGAGCCAGGTATGGTGGTGCATGCCTGGGATCCCAGCACGTGGGAGGGTGAGACAGGAGGATCGCAAGTTCGAGCCCAGGCTGGGCAATTTAATGACTTAGTAAGACCCTGTCTCAAAATAAAAAAATAAAAAAGGGCTGGAGATGTAGCTCAGTGGAAAGGTCCTGGGTTCAAAGGCCAGCACCACCAAAAAAATGTAAAAAGCTGACTCCAGCTGTAGGAAGGAAAGGATGGGGCAGGGCTGGGGATTTAGCTCAGTGGTGCCACACCTGCCTCGAAAACGCAAGGTCCCCGGTACCAAAAAAAAAAAAAAAAAGGATGGGACAAAGCACAGGTTTGAGAAGGCATGGGGGACACAGTATGATTTTAAACTAAGTCTCGTTAGGCATCACCAGGAGGACGTGTGCACGTAGTTGGTTCAGGCTGGCTTCGAATGCACAGCAGTCTTCTTCCACAGCCTCTTGAATGCTGGGAGGAACGGCGTGCTCCACCACACCTCGTGCCTCAGTTCTTCTGCCTCCTGCTTCTCCACGTCAGTCTCGCCACACCCTTGGGTTTGGATGAAGGCCACGCCAGGCTCATCCCGAGGAGCCTTCCTTAGTTGCACACCTATGCCATGAGCATAACTCACGGACTCAGTCTCAGCCTCAGTGTTGGCTGTGCAGACTTCATGCCTGCTGGAGGCCACATTGCCTCGAGAGGGTGTCTCAAGGCGGAAGGGGAAGTTGGTGGTCAAGCCAGTCCCGTGGTGTCACAATCCGAGTTACAATGACCCAACATCCACCCCGCACACTGGGGGCTTACCTGGCATTCCTCTGACCAAAGGGCGGAAACTCCCTGTCAGGGCTGGGTCTGGACGGCCCCTCAGAGCCTCTTGTGGTCACAGGTGGGGCTTTTGCAGAGGTGGCTGCATCTAAAGTGTATGACAATGGGATCCATTCATGGTGCAATCCAGGATTAAGGGTGTGAGTGCTGCCTGGCCTAAGGGGCCTGGATAAAACAGAAGAGGCAGAAGGAGGCTTGTCTCGGGTTGCCTTGCTCATTTGCTACTTTGCCTGCTTTTGCTGTCTTTTGCCTGCCATGAACTGTTTCTCCTCTGTGATGCCACTCTGCCTCGGAAGCAGCCAACTGTGGACTGAAACCTCTACACACTGAGCTACGTAAACCTTTCCTCCTTTCACTTTGGGTTCGGGTATTTTGTCTCAGCAATGTGAGAAAAGTAACTAAGACACCCCCTGATTTTCCACCAAATCCTTCCCGTTCCCTTGCAGGAACTTCAAGGACTCCTGCACTGGGATGTCTTATGCCTGACCTCAGGGGTTTTATTCTGTTTTGTGCAGGCAGTGGGGGAAGAGGAGGAGTAGATCCCTCGGGGCACCTGTCAGAGTAGATTCTTCCTTGCAATGAAGCACAGATGGAAAGGAAGCGAGCGTTGATTTACACTGGCTGCTGGGTCTCCTGAGTGGGCAAAATCCCAAGGTGCGACCCTGGATAAAAATAGTGATGGCAGCTGCTAGAGTCCCAGGTTACTGGAGCCAGGCGGGACAGCTGCACTAGTGACCTGCTGCTGCGGAGCCGCACAAGGCAGCTCAGGCAAGGTGGCAGGCAGTAGAGTGGCCCCTTCAGAGAGGCTTCCTGTGCCTGCCGGGCCCTGGCCCCTTCTGAACTCCTCAGGCTATGTCGGCCCCTTCCACCTGCGCACAGGGTCAGCATCTACAGGCCCGAGAGCACTGCCCTGAGGAGCAGGAACACGGCAGGGGTCTGGCCGGCCCATGGGGTCCTCTCTCGGGAAGTTTGGAGTCAGGATCTAGCAAGAGAGTGATCTAGAGCTGGGTGTGGTGGCTCATGCTTGTAATCCCAGCACTCAGGAGGCTGAGGCAGGAGGATCACACCAAGTTCAAAGCCACCCTGGGCTGCACAGGGAGACCCTGTGTCACAAAACTAAAAGATAAAAAATACAAAATAAATTGTCACTAGGATAAGAGCTTGTTGAGCCCCTACTCTGTGCCAGGCATGGGGATAGGGCCAGGGAACCTTAGATTCGATTGGGTAGGAGGTTGAAAGCAGGCTGCTGCTTTTAGTTTTTATTTACTCATTGATCAGTGCAGGGATTAAGCCAGGCCTCATGGATGCTCGGCAGCCCCAGCAGGCAGATGTGTTTTTAGAATACTCATGGCTATGCAGGTGACCCAGAGGAGAGAGAGGTGACACTTGAGCAGAGACCTGGGGAAGTGAGTGGCTTGGGGAGGCCGTTGGAGTGAGGGAATCTGGTGTCTTCGGACTGAGGGGGACCCATGGAGGAAAGACTAGGCGTGTGTCTCGGTTATCAGTGCCTGGTAACAAGCACCCCTTTAAAGCCCTGTGGGACAGAATGATACCCATTTTCTTTGCTCCTGGTCATGCTTTGGCTTGGGCTGAGCTGGGTTTTTCTGGAGGTCTGATTTTTGGAAATCTCATGTTGCACCCTCAAAAGGGAGCCAGGCAAGGGCCGGCACATCTAAGCCTGTGAGCTGAAGTCCCAGGGTGCTGTAAGAAAGGACCACAGGCTGGGTGACTTACAATAGAAATGTAGCAGAAACATTGTTTCTCTGTGGTTCTGGAGGCTGAAGTCACTCCAGGGGCTGGTGGGCTGCTCCTTCCTGGGGCTCTGAGGGAGCATCTGTCCAGGCCTGGCTCCTCCTGGGGTCATCAGCAGCCCTGGGTGCCCCTTGGCTTGCATGAGCCTCAGCACCAGGCTCGCTGAGTCTCCTGTGACTCTATGGCTGCCTCCCCTGTCCTTATTTATTTTGGAGACAGGGTCTTGGTTTGTAGTTCAGGCTGGCCTCGAACTCACAGTGATCTTCCTGCCTCAGCCTCCCAAGCGCTGGGATCACAGGTGTGGGCCACCACACCCG